TAGTGACCTGTTAATGAGATGCATAGTTAATGATTTTGGCTGTTTTGAAGCCTGTACTAGTTTTTGGGAGGTCAGGATATGAATACCTTAACCTAAAATGGCTGTGGGGGTGGGGGTTCCTTTGAGCCAGATAGCTTTTTTTGACAGCCAGGGTGAAGTCAAATTTTTCCATAAGCCTCAGTGATAGATAGAGGACATGTTGTCATGGCATGAGTTTTTTAAAAACCTGTTTGGAGTATATTCCACTTAATGCTTACCCTTCTTTGTGTTATCGATTACACCCTTAAAATATCTTTATTTATTGTGAAAGAAAAAAAATGTGACAAAAAAGATAGATAAATTGTCAGCAAATTTTTTACTGACTTGTGTATAAAAATGTGTGTTTTTTTTAAAGGATTGTTTTGCGGATTTCCAATGGGATAATAACTCGTGGTTTTTTTTTTTTTTAACCTATTGTTACTTTGGCAGAAGGGTTAAAACTTGTTCTTTGTATGTTGTATAGAAAACAGTCTGTTTGACAATTGTATTGCCACTGAACACATTTACTCTACCACCAGGAGCGGAAACTTGAAGACTTGAGAAGATTATTAAAGAGGTACAGACGAGTGGAGGAGATATTAGTACAAGCACAGGGGCGGAAAGGTTTGTGTTTGTATTTATCTGCAACCTATTTCCGCGGTGTGTGCTGTTTGTGTATATGTGTGTATATGTGTTGTTGTTGCTTGTTGGTAATTGTGTTTTGTTTGTGTTATTCCCTTGTTGTGCATGCATGTGTATCTATCTACACATGCACATATTTGTTTATTTTTTCTTTTTTTTTAAAAAAACATTTGTGTGTTTTATTTTTATTTTTTTCATTTGCGAACATTCTTTTCATGTTTTTTGTTACCTTTGGCTTTACAGCTGTGGAAGAGCTGCTCATGAATCTTGAGGACGGAGACACCAGCTCTAACAGTTCATCAACTACACCATCTGTTGGAGAGGCAGTGCACAGAGATCAACTTCAGGTTAGCCTTCCCAAGTTTCTCAGCCTTCTGTGCCACAGTAACAAAAATTGGTTTGATTTTTTTTCTGTTTTTTTTATTCTTTTCCCCCCTCCAGCCTTGCTATCTTAAAATTAACATCTTAAAGATGAGAATTCAACCAGTACAAATTCTGGAAACCTCGTTCAAAATTACAGCCACATAATGTTGGTTGTGTGTCCTTTACAGGATGTTGCAGAACCAAAACCATCATGTTTTGGCTGTTGTGGTTTTTCTAGGCAAATTTACGTTCAGTAGTTTAGCCATTGTTACCTGAATGGTTGGCACTCATACCACTGTGCAACCAGTGCAAGGCGGTCTGCTGCCAAATCACCTGCAGCTGGGACCAAACTTGTCACCTGGGTATTACAAAGCATGTTTGCAAAGCCTTAGCCATAGATGCTGACAGCACAGTTACATTGGGAAACCACAAAACATTTTCAAGCTAACCTGCAGTTGAATGTAGGGTTGGTTAGGCCCATTTTTATATAGACCATTCATAAGTGATGCCATCCGTATCATACCAGACACCTCTGCTTTTGAGGAGACTTTCTGATCCGCATTTAGACAAGGTCGATCTGGGAGACTAGATCTGTTATAAGTAACCACCTCAGTGTGGATTTGAACTCAGAGATGTATAATGTTTACATTAGTAATTCTTATTTTACAGTGAGATGTATTATTCTTATGTTAGAGGAAGATGTGTAATTCTTATTTTAGATTGATATGTATAAATATGTATAATGTGTAGATTAAAGTGAGAAGAATAATTCTTATGTTAGAGTTAGATGTTTAATTCTCAAACGAGAGAGAAGAATGATTCTTATGTTAGGGTGAGATGTATAATGCTTACATTCAAGAGGGATGTGTAATTCTTTTGTTACAGTGAGATGTATTATTCTTATGTTAGAGGAAGATGTGTAATTCTTATTTTAGATTGATATGTATAAATATGTATAATATATAGATTAGTGTGAGAAGAATAATTCTTATGTTAGTTAGATGTTTAATTCTCAAACGAGAGAGAAGAATGATTCTTATGTTAGGGTGAGATGTATAATGCTTACATTCAAGAGGGATGTGTAATTCTTTTGTTACAGTGAGATGTATTATTCTTATGTTAGAGGAAGATGTGTAATTCTTTTTTAAGATTGATATGTATAAATATGTATATATATTTAGATTAGAGTGAGAAGAATAATTCTTATGTTGGAGAGAGATAGTTTAATTCGCAAACAAGAGTGAGAAAAATGATTTTATGTTAGGGTATAATGCTTACATTAGAGAGGGAGATGTAATTGTTACATAACAGTGTGATGTATTATTCTTACGTTAGAGAGAGATGTATAATTCTTATTTTAGAGTGATATGTATAAAAGTTATGTTAGAATGAGATGAATAACTCTTATGCTAGAGTGAAATGTTTAATTCTGACATGAGAGTGAGAAGAAGAATTCTTATTTGAGACTGAGCTGTATTATTCTTATGAAATAGAGAATAATTCTTACTTCAGAAAGAGGAGAATAATGATTACTTTAGGGTAAAAATAAAGGTCCCTTTTCCACTACTTTAGGGATGTTGGGAAATAGGGATAGACCTATATTGTTTATAGACTAATTGGCAGTTGGTGGGTGATGTGGTCAGCATCATGCCGGTCACCTTTACTTCCCAGGACTGCACCTGGTACCCACTCGAGGCTGGGTCAACCTGGGAGTCAGGGTCATTTCTGAAAAAGTCTGGCTCCATCAGGAACGCGAACCAACGACCTTCGGATCCGCAGGCGGGCGTCATGCCGCCAACGCCATGGCGACTCCCCTCACATTAGGGTTAGAAGAAGAATTCTTACGCTAGAGTGAGAACAATAATTCCCATCAGAGAGATATAAATAGTGCTTATGTTCATATCCTCTCTACACCAACAGCACACTGATGATAGACTTGATGGGCGACAGTACAACTCATCATCAAGTGCATCCAGCACTCCAAGTATGTATTGTTCACGTTATATTTTCTAGTCTAGCTGGTGCATAGCCTGCATATAGTAGTCAGTGAGAAAGGACACCACACACACACACCAACACACGCGATTTTGCTGCCTACGCTACTGCGTTAAGTGATTGGTGCAGCACTGTGAGCTGTGTTTTTTCATGTTGCATTCGTATGATAGGTAGCCAGTTTATGTGTGGGCTAGCAAAATAGCTCATGTAATAACTGTGCATGTGTATGACCAGCTTGTCATGGTGGACTGCTTCCATCGACGAAAAACTGCATTTGTGGTGGCGATTGTTGGATTTGCCGCCTCTAGCAACTGCCTTTATTGTTTTTTTTTCTTTGATTATTGTTTTTTTCTTTGATTATTTTTTTTTTTTCTCGTGATCATTGTTTTTTTTTCTTTGATTATTTTTTTTCTTTGATTATTATTTTTTCTTTGTTTATTCTCCTCCCCCAACTTTTGAAACTTTCCAGCTAGAAACCTCTAATCTAGTCATTACGCGACCATAGTTGCTAGTAGCATAATGTCGGTCAAAAACCAATTCTTACACAATTAGTTCATGACTTACGGTGTGCACCAAATGATTGCAACAACTTTCTGTATCCAGTTCACCAGCTACACAACAATTTAAACGGAGGCACGGCCGTCTCAACAATCCCCGCCGACTGCAGACAAGCCATGGGCATGACTAGATCCAACAGTTGTGAAGATGTCGCTGCTGCAACAAAGTCCAAGGTCTGTTTACCCTGCCTTCTCCTCCATTAAAATATTTTTAACGAGACATAGAGCTAGCCATGAAAGGAAATACAGTATACAGTCTTCATGGTTATCATAGATCATGTCGACAAGCATATGCTGTTATATTTTGCAGTCTCCCATGAGTGCCAGAAATATGGATCAGGCCATTGCTCTTGTCTGGCCACATCCATATGGCTAAGCCATGTATGCATTTATCTCTTTGGCCTTCTCCTTGTACCTTTTCCATTAGTCTTTCCAGTAATTATCGAGTTCTAGAGTACATTCCTTTTCATGTGTCTGAAAAACACAGTGCCATCTAATTTTTCTAATAAGGCTTTTGACTTTCTTTAAAAAAGCTTTTTTATTATCGATTTGGTTTATATAAGCTTCTCTATTCTGTATTAAAATAATATTATAAGCTCCTTAGTTGTCTCTTGAGCTTACAAATTTGTTTTTATATACTCTCCCCCCCCCCCCCCCCCCCCCCCCCCCCCCCCCCTTTCCCAAATATATAAAGATGTATAAAAGAAGTCAGCAGGAACAAAGTGACCCTTATCACTGAGGCTTGTGGGAAAATATTATATCAACTTGGCTTTAAAAAAAGCTTTTGGAATCACAATGAAACCTTGCTAAATGCTATATTTAGCCCATAGAACCAGTGGAATTTAACTACGCTTTTCAAGGACTGGTCGCTGCATAAATGACAGTATATTGACATTTATGGGACTGTGTCACAACCAGAAGTGACTAGATTCTTGGAACAGTTGGGTTCAGGCTGTCCATTGCATTATGATTTTTTTTAACAAGTCCCTACATTGTGTATTGAATTTATAGGATGTCCTGTTACATTATGCATTTTTTTGTAAAGGTAAGCTCTTCTATTTGATTTTAAGTATTTATGCTAAGCTCTTCCTTTGTGTATTAGGTTGATATAAGAAGAGCTCCTTTTTTTTTCTATTTAATTAACATGATAAGCTCTTGTATTATATCTTGAGTTTATAAGAGAAACTCATCCATTGCATGGTGAATTAGTTTTATATGCTGCTCTATAATGTAACAGTTTGCATGATAAACATCTCTCTTGTATGTTGAGTTCATATGTTAAGCTCCTTATTTGTATATTTCATTTAAAAGGTTAAGATTATCTGTTGTGTGTTAAGCACAAATGAAGCTGCTTCTTTGTTTTGTCCTCCATCTCCAAACTCTGTTCACTTACCTTAAACTGTGCTATATATTTTATGCTTTCAGGCTCCGTCCTTCAAGAAACACGACAAATACTCTGCAGGTGGGCCAATAAGGGGAGTTGATGGCTATGGTATGTTGCCCAAGCATTGCAGTAAGGAGGATGTTCGGGAGGGAAAACGGTTGCGTGGGTTCCACAGCCTGGGAAAAACTCTCCTACGGGTTAGGTCAGGAAAGCGCAGCAGTTCTGCTCCAAACCTAGGTGACCAATTGCTAACAGGCAATATCCTGTTCCTGCACGGCCTGCTGGATGTAAAACGTAGCTTGCATTTTGACGTTTGGCCTGCATGACCCTTGAACTTAGCAGATAGGGTACAACATAATGTGCTTGTAGCCATAAGACCCTAAGCTCATATTTACAGTGCAAATTCATTATGAACAGAAATGTTTATTCTAGGCACTTTTAAAAGTAAAAACACTTAACATCTCATCATTGTTCAGTTAAAAATTATCTCCATCGCACATTGGACATGACCATACCTGCTCTTGTCACCTCCTGAGTATGTCTTCAAGTGTTTGTAGACCAACAACTCCCATTCTGTTCTGGTTGATGTAGCAGCCGTATTGTTTTCCTGTCTCGCTGCTCAAGTTGTTATGCCCAGGGTATGCACTCTATTCAGTGAAAATTCATTTTCCAGGAAACTGAAAGCCTCACAGCGTTTAGTCTCTCATATGGCATTGATGATGTCTCTCCTGTCCATAGAGGATCCACTGCCAGCCAGGGTGTCTGCTCCCTCATTGCCTTTCACACCAGCATGACCTAGGACAAAAATGAATCTGCTTTTACGAAACGCTGAGTGCTGTATCAGATGGAGCCACTGTTTACGTATTTGCCCCACCTTGATCTTCTGTAGCATGATCATTGAGCCACTGAGTTTTCAGCCTTTATAGGACCTTTGTCACAGCCATGATATATCATGAACTCTTTCAGTCTTAGATTTTTTTAAGCTTGTACCCAAGAGGAAACAATTAACCTGATTGGACACAAATAGCATGAGTATAATAATATCAAAATTAACATTATAAGTTATGCTGCAAGTGTTAACATATGTAACCATATTTCTTTATATACTAAAATCAGACTTAAATAACTAGGGGCTTTAAACGAGAACCCTACAAGTGGGTAGAAGTTAAAAGAGCCATGCTCCTTTTTGGTGCATGTCAAAAGTGGTGGGCCATCTTGAAACTTTCAGCATGATATCATCTTCTTAACACTCTTGACAACCTTAACAACAGTATTGACAGTTTATGTATACATTCAGACAGTTATTAGTGTGCCATCCATATTGGAACTCTTTGCTTGCTCCTGAAGCTGGGGACGGACCGCTTATGGAAGTGTCCCTAATCCTATGATGTTGATTATTAATTCAACATTTTGAGGTTTTCATTTACAGCACCCTCATATATATTACCAGAAATTCACAGCAGTGTTTTTTCCTCTTATAGATATAAGTATGACCCAAAAAATGTACTGCACATGTTATTGCCTGGCATATTTTGTTATGTGTCGTTTACGGGAAGTTAGGTGGCTGCATGGTCTCGAGGTATGGTGTCTGCCTCGAGTGCTAGAGGTTCCAGGGTCAATCCCCCGGTAAGTGCTGGGATTTTTTCACATGGACTTCTTGTAATTCCCCCTTGTCTCTGGGTAATGAGGTCAGACGCCCGTGTACAGTGTTGTGCAAGTACAAAAATCCCCTGGCAGTTGGAAATCTAAAAGAGTAGCCTAACGGCGCTACCTGCGCAAAATTTGGAGTTTAAAATCTACCCAAAGTATTTCAGGATCCTTGCCAGTGCTACAGAGCCTGTGCACTGTGCTGAGCTACTTCGGACTCTGACTTGAGTTAGAAGAAAGATCGGAGCTCTTGTGAGTTACTACCCTTGTGCCATGATGTTGATCCATTGTTCAAACTTCAAACTTACGGAAAGTATGTCCAGTGTAATTTATCACACTGTCATGGACCCTTTAGAAACAAAATACTGGCTTTTGAGCTGAAATGCTATGAAAAGATTCTCAGAATACCATGGACAAAGAAGAGAAGAAAGGCTAACATTTTAACAGATCTGAACATCAAGGAAGGTTGGCTGATAAACAGCATCTTGTTTCGGAAGCTGACATTTTTTGGTCATATCAAGTGCCATGGGGGATTGGCAAAAGTATTAGCAGAAGGCATGGTACCAGAAGGAGGGGCAGGGACCGACCATTATGAAGATGGACACAGAATATGTGTCACTACTTGAGAGGTGAGAGAGACCGAGTTTCTTTGAGGCATACCCTGATGAGAGGGATGTTCTGCAAAGGACATGCTACCTGATCATATCATGGACCTATTTACGTGTGTACCGCTGTTTTTAGCTTTGTTTTGAAAACGTGTTTTGCACAATGGTGTACTTTTTGGGCATTAGTATCAAACAGGAAAGACAAAAAAAGGGGTTAGGAATCAATGAATAGGGATGGTTTACTTTGTACGGACTGACAGCTTAGGCTTTTATTCTGGCGTGTTCTACAGGGATATTTGCAGCCAGTGAAGTCAATGCAGACCACTTCACTGACTTCCACATAGTATTTCTACAGTGTCCTAATTTGACCTCCGTTTAACCGGTACTGTTTTGAAGACAGATCTGTCACTGGTGACCAAAAAGGTCTGATACACACACACACACACACACACTCGATCAACATACTTTAAAATATCCTGTGAGTAGCAGTTGTAGGCAGCCATCAGTCCTTTGGGACTGTGGAGTTGTTCCCCTGGTTTATAGAACAGTGTCTGCTGTGAATGTAAATTCCAATGTTGGAGTAGCAGTCCCTTCAACATAGTCTGTATAAAATCTTTATACTCTAATACTATAATGAGCCTGGTTTTCTCTCTAATGTCTCATCTCTAGTTTAAAGTTTGTACAACAAATCAACATCATAGCACACGGGTAGTTACCCATAAGTGCTCCGTTCTACTTCTAACTCAAGTCTGAGTCCGAAAAAGCTCAGCACAGTGAACAGACTCTGTAGCACCGGTGAGGATCCTGAAATACTTTACGTAGCTTACTGTTTTAGGCCTCTTGCAAAGTGTGACAGTCCGTCTTTCTTTGTTTGCCTCCGTAGGAGTCTGCTTAGTAGCAGTAAGTATGGGAATTCATGCTCTATGCATAAAGAAAAACGTACTTGTTAGTCTGAGCTGTCTTTTTTTTAAACACTTGTAGTGAAGCAATGGACAATGTGATTCGTGTGTTTCATTTAAAAGGAAGTTTAGTGTGATTCACACTGAATATGTTTTTTGAAAATTCTCTCAAATGGACCTGACGAGATAGAGCACAAATGCCAGGCAATAAATTATGCAGTAGTGTATCCTTATTCTTCATCTTCAGCATTCCGAGCCAGTGAGGTTTATGGCTGCAGAAATAACCCACCTCAATTCCTCTCTTACTTGTGTACTGTTTTTACCTCTCTGTCATCTGCAATTCACTCTGGATTCTTCAGCCATTTCAGTCTAATCGCAGTCATTTAATTGCCAGTGATTCTTTGTGATTTAAACAGATTATACATTTCCTTCTGGCTCCTGACTCTCCATTTCCTGCTGTTTGCACCTAGGTCTACAGATTCGTAATAAGAGTGTTTTAAAAACAACATATTATGCATTTATTGATAGAGCAAAGGAACAAACAAGCAGACAAACATTATTGTTGAAGACTCATGACTAGAGATGGATGGTAGCTGATTACATACTATTGTCAGTTTAATGATCTTCAATACACTTGTTGTTCTCTTTCTCCATTTACCACATTGGTGTGTTGGAGGGAGAGGGGATGTGAGGATCTTTCTGTTGCATAAGTTTATCTTCATTTTTTTTAGGCTGATCCATATTTTGCATGGTTTTCCACTTGTTCTGTTTTCCTTATATTTCGTCAGCATAGCTGTCTGTGGCAGTTGGTACCAGGGCATTTTCTCATTAGGTGCCTGAACTATCTCATTTGTTTCATGACTGCTCGTGCCTAGCTTATTCTTATTTCTTGATTTTAAATTGTATACCTTTTTTTTCTAGTAAATATACATACATCTGATTGTCAGTACTGATTACTCAACAAAGTTAAATTGCTGATACATTTTACAAAAGACAGTGAAGTTCATACTAGAAACAACATTGCAAATATCGATAATCTATTTCAAGCGAACTAAAGGAGAAGAAGAAGAAACTGTTACATTTTGAAGTCTGTTAGATTTAGTTTTAAAAAAAACTGTTGTTACATTCATTTAGGAAGTGTTTTGAAAAAATATTCAGAAAAATCAAGTCTGTCCCTTTTTGGGGTTTCAAAATAAAAAAGTATGAATTTTAATTTTTAAAGACCAATTATACAATTCCTAAATAATAAAGACTATCTGATATAGATAAAATCAACCTGTAAAGTTCTGGGAAGTAAAGGGAGGGGCCCTAATGCGGACCACATCACCCTCTGAGTGCCAGTTGGTCTATAATAGATATAGCTTTGAATGTGCAGTTTGCCTGAAGGTAACATCACTTTTATATGATGTAGGTAACACATTTTTAAATAGGAAATATAAATGGTAGTGTATTTGTTTCAGTAAAGTAAAGTGAGTAAAGATCCCATTTCACGCCTTTAGGTGCTTCGGGCGTTTGGGAAGAGCACCCAAATTTCTTTCTACTGACCAATTGGCACTAGGTGGGTAATGTGGTCAGCATTACACCATAATTGTATAAGAGAACTGAACAATGATCTAATTTCAAACAGGAACTGTCAATGGTAGTGATATTGTTTAAAAGAGAACTATGAATAATATATAATTTTAAGTAGGAAATATAAATGGTAGTGTCATTTTAAAAGGCAACTCTGAATGGTAGTCTGATTTTGACCCACTCTTCAACACTCATCCGTACATCACTGTGAAGTGTTAAAGGGTCCTGGGTGCTGCCCCGGGAAGTAAAGGCGGCTGGAGCGATGCTAACCACTTCATCCATCTTGTGCCGATTGGTCTGTAAAAATATAGGTCTAGCCCTGTATGCCCTAAAGGTGTGGAAAAGGGACCTTAACTTATTTTTTACTTGTCTGGGCTGGCACTTGAGCCACCATGTGGTGCGTTTCTCCTAAAAGTGAAGGGCCCTTTTCCACGCCTGCAGGTGTATTGGGCACAGAGTGCTCTACCTTTTTTTTTAAAATAGACTAATTAGCACTCAGTGGTAATATGGTTAACATCATGAGGCCACCTTTACTTCCCAGCAGTTTACCTGGTACAAAAATAAAAAAAGTCTGGGTCAACCTGGGAGCCAAGGTCATTTTTGAAAGAGCTCCGACTTCACTTCTAGCTGCTACACCACGGCGGCTCCTGTAGTTGTCACAGCTTTACTGTTTGTATGTCACTTCAGCACCTTCTTCTTCTTCTCTTTCACCTTGTACCTCAGCGAAGTGTTGGAGGGAGATGTAACATTCGTTGATGAGCTCTGTCAAGAGCACTATTAAGACTGATTTTCATTTCTGTAAGGCTGTTCTTAATGCCATCACTCCATATTTTCTGAGGTCTTCCATTCGCTCTGTACCTATTGTAGCATTTTAGTGTGGCTTGCTGTGGCAGATAGTACCATGGCATTCTTGTTAGGTGCCCAAACCACTTTATTTGTTGTTCTTTGGTGACCTGTAAGACTGGCTTTATTCCTATCATTTGTCTGGTTTTGTGATTTCGTATTCTGCCTTTCCTTGAAACTCTTGCAGCTCTTCTAAGGCATTTCATCTCTGCTGTCTCCATTGTAGGTTCATTATAAGATGTTAAGTGTCCAGGTTTGGCACTGATATCATATTTTTTTACCAAAAAATAGTTCTTTTAAGATTCACTTTAGTACTCCGGGGTATCTGCTTGTGTGTCAACAGGGGAGATAGTTGCTCCATTACTTGATTAGCTTTGGCACATCTTGAGCTAATTTCTCTGTCCAATTTTCCACTGGATGTGAAAATTGCTTCCAAATAATTGAATTCCTTTGTTTGTCCTACAGCATTGTTTTTTTTTATTTTTTTTATTTCGAAATTGTGTGTCTTCCTATCAAAATTGTCTCTGTCTTCTTAGTGTTTATTTTCATAATATATTCCTCCACTTCAGCACCACAAGATACAAAAAGAACAAAATAAGATAAAATTGTTTCTTATTTTGCACAAGACAGACTTTTATTGTTCTCACTATTTACCATCTGTTTTCCAGGCATGTTAGAACTAACTTGTATGTGTGCAATCCCTCTCCCCAGTACTGATTTGTAGTTGTTAACTGGTGGATAATTGGCATGGCTACATTTTAATTTCTGTGTTTCAGTTGTAGGGACAAGTAGAAATAACATATATTTACGGATGAATTGTTTTGTATTAATACTTTATGCATGCTGGTTTTTGTTACTGTTGTAAAAGCATTAGCTTAGTCAGTGCCTGTGTGGTTAAAACATGCACAATTTCCCACCCCGGTTGGACTACTGGTTACTTTGTAACCGCCAAGTTCCCTAATATACAAATGTTGTACGGTTGAACAGGGTTTCCTGGGTTGTACCTGTTTGATTCTCATCCTTAGGATTTTAATCTTGCAGGCTCCAATGATGGAGTGCAGTTGAAAGTTGGAGTGTTGTGCCCAGTTTGTATACAAGCAGTTGTCAATGATAGAGAAAAATTCATCTGATTGTATGTTTCAATAATCAGAACCATTTTATGTTTTCACTTCAGAGAACTCATTATTTGAAAGTTGACATATGGCAAGAAATAGATATTTTGATGTTTAGTACAATGACATTGCATATTTATTTTAAAAAAAAAAATGAATCAGTGTTTGCCCTGTGTGATTACCATCACCCCATTGAGGGGGGAAAAGTGGAAGGGAAGGGGGGGAGGGGCTTTTGTCATTCTGACAAGTATATTTTGCGAGGTAGCTAAACAGGGATTGGTGAATCAGATGCATTAAGCTGACAGGTGCGTTATTGCAGTCTAGCTGTAAACCACAATGTGAAATGATAACCACCCTTGCAACCACAGAAGGAGAAGAATTATAATTCAAGGGCAGTAATTTAGATGTTTAGTTTACTACTGTTACGATCACATTTGCATGGTAAATACATCTGCTGTTCTCTCTCTGTTGATCTTTTAAGGGAGGTAACCTACAGAAAATGTGTGAACTGGGTATTATGATGATTAGTAGGGTGGTTTTTTTTATTTTTTATGTTGGGTTATTGTTTAACCCTCTTACTCCTTGAATGCTAAAATAAATAGGTCCTCAACCCAACCTCAACCAGGAATTTGTGGGTAAAAATCCTGAAATTAAACAACCGTATTACACTAGTCATTGAAAACAGAATTTTTTTTTTTTAAAACTCAGTTACCTATATTGTACAAATCAAGTTGTCTCCTCGTGAGAGGCAATTTACAACAATTCAATTCACTGTCTTTTTTAGGATGAAATTTTTTGTTTTTTGAAGCCTCACCCTGGCTCTTGCCGGGGGCCGCAATATAGCCAGGCCATAAATATGGCCTAATGGCCGAACGCGGTTTCTGGGACCTCTCCATGGTGATCCTCATCCACATGGTGGCATATTATGTCATCGGGTGTTTATCACTTGTGTGATGTCCTGCTGGGGTAGAAAGTCAGTCAGTCAGATGCATTTTGTTTTAAAGCCCCACCCTGGCTTTTTCCAGGGGCCCTGAATAAAGCCAGGCAACAAATATAGCATGAACAGCTGAAAGGGGTTTCTGGGACCTCCCCACGGGTGATCCTCATCCGCATGGTTTCACTTTGTGTCAGCTGGTGTTTATCGCTTGTGTGATGTCCTGGTGGGGTAGAACTTACCTACCTACCTACCAAAATATGTTAATGGGTAGTTAAACACGAAAAAAATTAAAGCAGTAAATGAAATACATTTCCGAGGGCATGAATAAAAACTAGAATTTTCCAGGTGAACTTTGAGCTGTGAGCCTGTGACCTCTATCACTGAAGCCTTTGGGACACTTGTCAATCAACCTTGTTTTAAAAACAGCAAATGGGTTCCTAAGGACAGCCCTCTAAATGCTAGGCACACATAGGACCAATGGAATTTGACTACCCTTTTTGAGAACAGGTTACCGCAGACTTGGGCATATATTGGCATTTACCTGGATTTGGGACAACTAGATTTAGTCGTCTTTGGGAAGAAGGGTTAAAAACGTTAATTTAACCGTTAAACAATTTTTTTTCTAACTACAGAGAATTGATATGAAGAAGTTAAGCACAGTCTTTGCATTTATGTTGATATTGTTTAGGAAGAAAAGCTTGTGTGTACATTTGTATTATGTTGATATTTCGGTCCAAGGGAAGTAACTTAAATCAAGTACATTTAAGAGTTAGTTAGTTTAGTTTGGTCAGTAGTCAAGGGTTTGACTTCACTGTAAATGGGTTACCCTCTAATTGCCTCATTCTCGCGCCAGTCCCTTCACCATGCGGATAAGGATCACCCATGGAGAGGTCCCGGAAACCCCGTTTAGCCCGGCTATATTTAGGCCCCCTGACAAAAGCCTGGGTGAGGCTTCAAAATAGCTAACAATTTCATCCCCCGAGGGGATGATAACATTCTGGTGGAAAGTTCTGGTTGTTCATCCACTGTTTTACTTTGGTCTTTTTCCAGAACTTGAGTTTTGCATGCCCATCTCTTTTACAGAATTGGCTTATTTGTCTGCAGACTGTTGGTTCCTCACCTCTCAAGCAGATGCACCCCGACTTCGAAAGAAACACCCCTAATTATTATTTGCATCCTATAACGATCTTGTTAGGTGGATGGTGAGTCACAAGTGAAGAGTTTGGCATCTCCATGTTTATCTACACTGTAATATCATGTACTTAACACTCTTGACATCTTTAAACCACAAAATTGACAGGTTACATGACATTGGTATCTTATGGTTTATTGAAATTTCTATCACAATTTGAAGGTTGTCATTTAAAACTCCCTCATAGTTACTCCAGTAAGGAAGTTTAGCACATTGGTTACAGATCATAATATATTCTGTGTTCAGAGTTACCTTTTCCTTAGTAACATGTCCAAATTTATCATATTCACAGCAAACACAGAAGTAATGACAGATGACGAGGATAAGGCCCAGCTGTACAGCCAAGGACACACAGAATCCAAAAAGCTGCACGGTCTTCGGAAGCTTTTTGGCCGCCTCAAGAGGAGCAACTCACAGGATTTTGAGGGCAGCCGTGAAAGGGAGGAGGATGGGGAATTTAAGAGGGGTGGGGTTCGGGCGACTGCTTCGTCGCGGCTCGCATGGAACAGAGATGTCAAGGGGTTGATGTAAGCACAGAAGCTCTCCCACCTCATTTACTATATTCAAGGTGTCACTTCTTCTTCTTCTTCGCCTTCACCAGCTGTACACTCTGGCGGAAAGTTCTGGTTGCTCGTCCACTAGTGAACTGCAGTCCTGCTCCAGAACCTGAGTGTTGCGTGTGCATCAGTTTTACAGACCTCATTCTCTTGAATACAGACTGTTGATTCCTTGCCTCTCCGGCAGATGCACTCCGACTTCTAATGAAGCTCCCCAATTAGTCGACTCTTACGACATGCTTTTGGGAAGGCAGTGAGTCTATTCTTGTTTTCCCCATAATGGGGCCCCGGAACCCACACGGGGGAAGGAGTCACTTAAATCCTTTTTTTTTAACTACCTCTCTTTCCTCCTACTCCCTCTCTCATTTTCTGTACCCCTCTCATCTCCCTAACGCTATCTCACTTTTTATCTCTCCCTCATTCTCTTTTCATCTGTCTGTCTCTGTCCCACTTCTTACTCTTTCTATCTTACCCATTTCCAAAAAACTGTCTTTCTATGTCTTTCTTATATATGTTTTAGGACTTCTCTTTTTTTTTTTTTACACAGTACACACACGTGCATGCATACTCTCTCTCTCTCTTTATCTCTCTCTCTTTTCCTCTCTCTCTTTCTCTTGTCCCCTCCGTCTCTTTTCTCCTCTGTCTTTTCCCCATCTCTTTCCCCTCTGTCTTTCCCTATCTGTCTTTCTCTCTCTTTTTCTCCCCCTCTCTCTTGCACTCTCTCACTTTCCACACTCTTTCCATCTCTCTCTTTCCCATCTCTCTCACCTCCACTCCATCTGTTTATTTCCCCTCCTCTCTCTTTTCCTTCTTTTTCTTCCCCCTCACCACCCCCCCCCCCCCCCCCCCCCCCCCCCCCTCTTTCTCTTTCCCTCTCTTATATTCTTCATAATGGACCCCATGACTTAAAGACTGTGACTGATGATGATGTTTTTGGCATGTCTGACTTTTTCCAATTTAGGTGTTCTTGCTGAGGTAATTTGGAGATATGCATAGAAAATTGGGATTTGCCAGAAAACATGGTCTCAGGTTTATTGACAGCAGGCACATTTGATAAGGAAGAAAAAAAAAGAAAATGAAAGATAGTGATAAACACTTAAACTGCTTGGTCATATGATGGGAGGACAAGAACACAGCTGTGATCCAAGACTGGTTATCATATGAGATAGTGAAACAGGATGTTCTATACTTATCCTCATAGAACCTGATGATCTTTATCTTTTTACTCATCAGCTGTATACTCCAACGGACAGTTTTGGTTGTTCATATGCTTCTGGATCTTAGTCTTGTCCAAGAACTTAAATTTTGTATTTCGGATCTGGCTTAATTGTATGAGTCAAGTAACAGAAAATATGTTGATCGGCACTCGTAGAAAGAAGTAAAAAGATAGAAGAACACCCTAGACAACATAAAAATCGAAAGCTAAAGTTACCGTGCCGGGAATTAAACCTGTCACCTCAAGACGGCGTGTGCGCCTGTTTAATTGTATGAGGACTAACGACTCCTTGTCTCTCAGGTAGAAGCACTCTGACTTCGACAGAAACTCTCTTAGTTAGTCTACTTTTCATCATCATCATCATCCTTTATCCCTACAAGTCGTAGTCTACTTTTCATCATCATCATCATCCCGTATCCCTACGAGTCGTTGGGTCACCAGTTTCTGTTGACTGTCTGATCAGCTCTCTTCACCTTTGGCGGTCAGTTGTGATGCACTTCATGGTTGCATGCCTGAGACCTGTCCAGTCAGTCAGGTGCTGTCACCAGGTCTTTCTTAGTCTGCCTCTTCTCCTCTTTCCCTCTACGGAGCCCTGCAGTATTGTTTTTGAGAGGTCGTTAGATCTTATTACATGTCCATGCCATTGCATTTTTCGCCATTTCACTGTAGTTAAGAGAGATTTATAGTTGCCAAAGTGGTGTATAATTGTATGTCAAACCTCTTGGTTTGTAATGTGGTCTCTGTATGATATGCCAAGAATTTTTCTGAAACATTCGCATTTCTAATGCTTGAATCTTTCAAGTTCAGCTGTTAAGGTCCACGTTTCACAGCCATATGTAAATGTACTAAGAGCGAGTGCTCTGAGCAATCAAATCTTAGTTTTGCATGAAATGTTTTTGTATCTCCATAACGTTTGCTGCTTGGCAAGGACTGATGTTGTATAGGTAATCCTAGTCAGGATTTAGTCCACTTTTACCACACTCTCATTAGGGAGGTAATGGGTCTGTTTTATATCCCACACCCTGCATGCATACAGTGGGGCCCTAGAAACCACACATGAGGAACCTGATGATGATAAGTATCCCTATGTTTCATCATTATCTAGAACCAACACAGATGTCCCATTTGCAAGGTGGGACACAGACCGGGTCACTGCATGGATGAATGATATTGGTCTAAACATGTATCTGGTGGACTGCAAAAGATGGGTGAAAAATGGAGAGCATCTTTTACGATCATCACAGCAAGACTTGGAAAAGGTACTGTTATTATTAGTTGGTCTCTCTTTCTCTCTCTTGCTCTCTCTCTCTCTCTCTCTCTCACATATGTGCATGCGCACACACACTCACACACATGAAGAGAGAGAGAGAGCTAGGAAAGACAAGGGAAGAGACAGAAAAAAGTTGGGGAGGGGGGGAAGAGAAAAGAGAGAGATAAAAATAAAGGGATAGATAAAAATAAAGGGATAGAGAAAAAAGAGACGGAGTGAGAAGGAGAGAGCTAAAGACAGGGAGAAATAGAAAATGAGATTTAAAAAATGAAGAGGAACCATACACACAAAAACTAAGATGGAGAGAGATAGTACAGAAGAGACTATGAGAAAGGGAGACGGAAAGGAAGAGAGGCTGCGAGATAAACTAAGAGACTTGTGAACTTGATATATATGTTACTCCTGTGAGGTCACCTGAAGGCATAACCTCTTTACTCCTGTGAGGTCACCTGAAGGCATAACCTCTTTACTTTTTCAAGGGCACCTGAAGGCATAACCTCTTTACTTTTTCAAGGGCACCTGAAGGCATAAGATCTTTTACTCCTGTGAGGTCACCTGAAGGCATAACATCTTTTACTCCTGTGAGGTCACCTGAAGGAATAACCTCTTTACTCCTTCACGGGCACCTGAAGGAATAACATCTTTGACTCCTGTGAGGTCTCCTGAAGGCATAACATCTTTTACTCCTGTGAGGTCACCTGAAGGCATAACATCTTTTACTCCTGTGAGGTCACCTGAAGGCATAACATATTTTACTCCTGTGAGGGCACCTGAAGGAATAACCTCTTTACTCCTTCAAGGGCACCTAAAGGCATAACCTCTTTACTCCTGTGAGGTCACCTGAAGGCATAACCTCTTTACTCCTTCAAGGGCACCTGAAGGCATAACCTCTTTACTCCTGTGAGGGCACCTGAAGGCATAACCTCTTTACTCCTGTGAGGGCACATGAAGGCATAACCTTTTTACTCCTGTGAGGGCACCTGAAGGCATAACCTCTTTACTCCTTTGAGGGCACCTGAAGGCGTAACTCTACTATTGAAGTGTTAATGTAGATCTGATCTGTATAACAGGCCTCACTGTAAAACTGTTATAGGCTGATGAAGGCTTTCTGGCCACAACTGTCATTTTGTCTTTCGTGATTATCTTATTTCTTCTTCTTCTTCTTCTTCTTCTTCTTCTTCTTCTTCTTTTTTTTTTCTTCTGCTTCTTCTTCATGTTAACACTCCAGTCCAATGTTCTGGTTGTTCATCCACTTTTGGACTTTGGTCTTGATCCAGAACTTTTTGATCCAGAGTTTTGCATGCATATCCATTTGACAAATCTGGATTCTTTGCAAGGAAATGTTTGGTTACTTCCCTGGCAGATACAGTCCGACTTCAAAGAAAACATCTCTAGTAGGTGGACTTTTATGACATGCTGGGTTTGCGGGGCCTTCTTTTTTCCTCCCCCTCCTCCACCCCCAAAATGGGGCAATGCATCCTGTATGGTGAGGATGTGGCATTATGAAGCTCTTGTTTGTATTGAAGTTTTTTGAACACATCGGCTGATAAATTTTGTTATCTCTCTACTACAGGAACTTAATATCAAGAACAGTCTGCACCGCAAGAAGCTGCAACTGGCTATGCAAGCAATGGCATCAGAGGGCATTGATAAATTTTTGGAGCTGGACCACAATTTTGTGGCCCGTAAGTAATATTTTTCTTCTACATTCAAGATTATAAGAAGTCTAGCACGAGTTGTAGTTTAGAGCTTTATAAGAACTCTAGTACATTTTGTAGTTTAGAGCTTTATAAGAACTCTAGCATGTTTTGTAGTTTAGAGCTTTATAAGAACTCTATCACATGTTGTGGTTTAGAGCTTTCTAAGAACTTTAGCACGTGTTGTGGTTTAGAGCTTTATAAGAACTATAGCACATGTTGTGGTTTAGAGCTTTATAAGAACCCTAGCACATGTTGTGGTTTAGAGCTTTATAAGAACTTTAGCACATGTTGTGGTTTAGAACTTTATAAGAACTCTAGCACATGTTGTGGTTTACAGATTTATAAGGACTCCAGCACATATTGTGGTTTAGAGCTTTATAAGGACTATAGCACATATTGTGGTTTAGAGCTTTATAAGGACTATAGCACATATTGTGGTTTAGAGCTTTATAAGGACTATAGCACATATTGTGGTTTAGAGCTTTATAAGGACTATAGCACATATTGTGGTTTAGAGCTTTATAAGAACTATAGCACATATTGTGGTTTAGAGCTTTATAAGGACTCCAGCACATGTTGTGGTTTAGAGCTTTATAAGAACTCTAGCACATGTTGTGGTGTAGAGCTTTATTAGAACGCTAGCTCATGTTGTGGTTTAGAGCTTTATAAGAACTCTAGCACATGTTGTGGTTTAGAGCTTTATAAAGACTCTAGCACAGGTTGTGGTGTAGAGCTTTATAAGAACTCTATCACATGTTGTGGTTTAGAGCTTTGTAAGAACTCTAGCACATGTTGTGGTTTAGAGCTTTATAAGAACTCTAGCACATATTGTGGTTTACAGATTTAAAAGGACTATAGCACATATTGTGGTTTAGAGCTTTATAAGAACTCTATCACATGTTGTGGTTTAGAGCTTTGTAAGGACTATAGCACATGTTGTGGTTTAGAGCTTTATAAGAACTCTAGCACATATTGTGGTTTACAGATTTAAAAGGACTCTAGCACATATTGTGGTTTAGAGCTTTATAAGGACTCCAGCACATGTAATGGTTTAGAGCTTTATAAGAACACTAGCACATGTTGTGGTGTAGAGCTTTATTAGAACGCTAGCTCATGTTGTGGTTTAGAGCTTTATAAGAACTCTAACACATAGAATATAATTTTTGTGTGTACATGCTTTGGTGTGTGTGTGTCTGGGAATGTATGTGTGTTTGTGTCTGTCTTTTTGTCTGTATGTCTCGCAACCATCTGTCTTTTTAATGTTATTTCTATGGTTGTTGTTATTGTTATTTTTTGGTTTTAGTCATCTATATCATGGAATGACAGAAAAGTAAAATGAGGCAGTACTCCTTGATATAGATATAAACCACTGACAAAAACACAGTAGACTGTTCCACGTGATACAGAAACCACTGACAGAAACAAAATAGTCAGCTTTCCTTGAAACAAATGCAAACCACTTACAAAAAAAAAAAAAAATGCAGTTTTCCTTAATACAGATGGAAACTACTGACAGAAACAAAGTAGGCTGTTCTCTATTTTGCAGAAATCACTGACAGAAACAAAATAGTTCTCCTTGATGCAGAAACCACTGACAGAAACAAAATAGACAGTCCTCCTTATTGTAGATACCACTGACAGAAACAAAATAGTCCTTCTTGATGCAGAAACCACTGACAGAAACAAAATAGACAGTCCTCCTCAATACAGAAACCACTGACAGAAGAACAAAATAGATTGACTTTCTCAGTGAAACAGAAACACTGACAGAAAAACAAAAACAAACAGTCCTCCTTGATGCAGAAACCACTGACAAACAAAATAAGCAGTTCTTTTTTATACAGAAGCCACTGACAGAAACAAAATAGTCCTCCTTGATACTGAAACACTGACAGAAAAACAGAATAGAGACTGCTCCATGAAACCTCTGATAGAAAACAAATGAGGCTGTCCTCCTTAATACAGAAGCCACTGACAGAAACAAAATAGTCCTCCTTGAGACTGAAACACTGACAGAAAAACAGAATAGAGACTGCTCCATGAAACCTCTGATAGAAAATAAATGAGGCTGTCCTCCTTGATACAGAAGCCACTGACAGAAACAAAATAGTCCTCCTTTGATACTGAAACACTGACAGAAAAACAGAATAGAGACTTCTCCATGAAACCTCTGATAGAAAACAAATGAGGCTGTCCTCCTTGATACAGAAGCCACTGACAGAAACAAAATAGTCCTCCTTGATACTGAAACACTGACAGAAAAACAGAATAGAGACTGCTCCATGAAACCTCTGATAGAAAACAAATGAGGCTGTCCTTCTTGATACAGAAGCCACTGACAGAAACAAAATAGTCCTCCTTGATACTGAAACACTGACAGAAAAACAGAATAGAGACTGCTCCATGAAACCTCTGATAGAAAACAAATGAGGCTGTCCTCCTTGATACAGAAGTCACTGACAGAAACAAAATAGTCCTCCTTGATACTGAAACACTGACAGAAAAACGGAATGGAGACTGCTCCATGAAACCTCTGATAGAAAACAAATGAGGCTGTCCTCCTTGATACAGAAGCCACTGACAGAAACAAAATAGTCCTCCTTGATACTGAAACACTGATAGAAAAACAGAATAGAGACTGCTCCATAAAACCTCTGATAGAAAACAAATGAGGCTGTCCTCCTTGAGACAGAAACCATTGACAGAAACAAAACTAAAATGAGGCAGTTGATAATACAGATAGTAACCTGTTTAGAAAAGTTAACCACACCTAGATTTTTGTAGTCAACATCACACTGGCCGCTTTTACTTCCAAGGATTTTACCTGGTATTATTTTAACTTGGGAACCAAAGTATTTAACAAAATAAAAAAGCATCAGTTTGGATTTGAACAATTGTGGTTAAACTATCCACACACACAAACACAATCACACACACACACACACACACACGTACACACAGACACATGTGCGCACACACACACACACACACCCACCCACACACACACACACACACACACACACATGCGTGTGCACGCACACACACACACACACACACTCACATACACTCACACTCACTCACTCTCTCTCTCTCACACACACACACACAGAATCTCTCACACACACACACACACAAAGATTTTAGAATGACACCTCCTAGGCAGGGAAATAGATTGAAATGATTGACAGTACATACGTCAGAAGGCTGTGAACAGACATGATTACCAACAGCACATACCAACAGCACATACCAACAGCACATACCAACAGCACATACCAACAGCACATACCAACAGCACATACCAACAGCACATACCAACAGCACATACCAAGAGCTATAAGATAAGGACAAGAAGTCATGCTGTGAAGCTGTAAGCTGTTGTTTATTGAACTGAAAGAACCTGTTCTTAAAATGGGAGTTTATGTTTATTTAACGAATCGAACATCATGACACACGGGCGTAACTCATAAGTGCTCAGTTCTTCTTCTAACCCAAGCCTAAGTCCGAAGAATCTCAGTGCGGTGCACAGGCTCTGTTGCACTGGGGAGGAAAAGTAGAGGTTTGAAGCTTGTAAATGCTTTTATTAAACAGTTTTACCTTTGTAATTTATGTTTAGAAATGTACACATGGTCATTAATAATACATTCAGTTCTTAATATAAGAGATATCGTAGAACACATTAACTGCACACATTACAATTTAATATGTGTTATAATGAGTATAATAATAAAAACTTCAGTTCAGTATCACGATGGAAAGGCAATTATTATTGATATCTGCTGAAAGAAAATATGACCATTATAAACCAGAAGACTTTATAATTTTCATTATTGGCAGTAATTTCAAAGCTTGGCAGCTGTGAATTTGTGTTTAATTAATTTATCGTAAGCTGCTAAAGGAAGGCATAATTTAAATTAGTTGATTTATTTGTCATTGTTGTTTAATTAATTATTTTGTTTTTCTTATTGGTATATTTGTTCAAGACAGATGTTGTGTAATTTTAAGTGTTGGCTGTTGTAGATTTACCCTCTTCACTGTAGATGGAAGCTTTCTCCCTATGTCAGTTGTGGGGTCCCATTGTGGGGGGGGGGGGGGGGGGGGGGAAATGAATAGACCCACTGCCACCCAAAACGCATGTCATAAGAGCCGACTAAACGGGAGCTTCCTTCAAAGTCATAGTGCATCTGCCCTAGCGGCAAGGAACAGCCAACTGCACACAAATTAGCCAGTAAAACGGATGTACATGCACAACTTAGGCCCAGGCACAAAATGAATGGATGATCAACCAGAAATGTCCACCAGAGCTTGAAGGTGGTGAACAAAGAAGAAGAAGAAGAAGACCCTCTTCACTGTAGATTCACCCTCTTCACTGTAGATTCACCCTCTTCACTGTAGATTCACCCTCTTCACTGTAGATTCACCCTCTCCACTGTAGATTCACCCTCTTCTCTGTAGATTCACCCTCTTCACTGTAGATTCACCCTCTTCACTGTAGATTCACCCTCTTCACTGTAGATTCACCCTCTTCTCTGTAGATTCACCCTCTTCTCTGTAGATTTACCCTCTTCACTGTAGATTTACCCTCTTCACTGTAGATTTACCCTCTTCACTGTAGATTCACCCTCTTCACTGTAGATTTACCCTCTTCACTGTAAATTTACCCTCTTCACTGTAGATGCACCCTCTTCACCGTAGATTTACCCTCTTCATTGTAGATTTACCCTCTTCACTGTAGATTTACCCTCTTCACTGTAGATTTACCCTCTTCACTGTAGATTTACCCTCTTCACTGTAGATTCACCCTCTTCACTGTAGATGCACCCTCTTCACTGTAGATTCACCCTCTTCACTGTAGATTTACCCTCTTCACTGTAGATTCACCCTCTTCACTGTAGATTTACCCTCTTCACTGTAGACTCACCCTCTTCACTGTAGATTTACCCTCTTCACTGTAGATGCACCCTCTTCACTGTAGATGCACCCTCTTCACTGTAGATTTGCCCTCTTCACTGTAGATTCACCCTCTTCACTGTAGATTTACCCTCTTCACTGTAGATTTACCCTCTTTACTGTAGATTTACCCTCTTCACTGTAGATTCACCCTCTTCACTGCAGATTCACCCTCTTCACTGTAGATGCACCCTCTTCACTGTAGATGCACCTTCTATACTGTAGATTCACCCTCTTCACTGTAGATTCACCCTCTTCACTGTAGATTCACCCTCTTCACTGTAGATTCACCCTCTTCACTGTAGATTTACCCTCTTCACTGTAGATTCACCCTCTTCACTGTAGATTTACCCTCTTCACTGTAGATTCACCCTCTTCACTGTAGATTCACCCTCTTTACTGTAGATTCACCCTCTTCACTGTAGATTCACCCTCTTCACTGTAGATTCACCCTCTTCACTGTAGATTCACCCTCTTCACTGTAGATTCACCCTCTTCACTGTAGATTCACCCTCTTCACTGTAGATTCACCCTCTTCACTATAGATTCACCCTCTTCACTGTAGATGCACTCTCTTCTCTGTAGAATGACCATCTTCACATAATTGTTGCCTCAGGCTTATGAAAGAGAGGATCCTTTTCCATGCTTCATGTTATTCATGCATATAGTACTAGACCTATATTTTTTAGAGACCAGTCAGGGGGTGATGTGGACTTTACCTGGTACCCAAGGCTGGGTCGACCTGGGAGTTAGGGTAATTTAAAAAAAAAATATCTGGCTGCATTTGGATTTGAACCCATGACTTTAAGATCTACAGGCGAGCATCTAGCTGCTACACCACATGACTCACAGTATATGCTGTTAGGTCCATATTTCTGAACACCATATGGCACTTGGGGGGTGATGTGGTCAGCATTATACTGGCCGCCTTTACTTCCCAGGACCCTCTATGGTACCCATTTTTGGCTGGGTCTACCTGGAAGCTGAGGTCAGCTTTGGCACAAATATACCTTGGTGCGAATTTTAACCCTTCACCTTTGGGCAGGAGGTGAGCATCCAGACGCTTCACCACAGCAGTTCCTGCTGCAAGTGGGAGAGATGTTAAACCTACTGGAAACAGGATGAGATTTCTAGGAACTATTTTATTCTTTTACCTATTAAATTTCATGAAAAATAATAAAAATAATGATAATAATGTTGATAAGAGAGGGTTAAGATGGGCTAGACTGGATTTTAGCTGTGATATCGGAGGATTTATAGTAAAAGCAAATGGAAGCCACTTAGTGCAACAAAGCCTGGCATATGATATCACATTTAGTTTGAGAATGGAGATGGAGGCAGTCACTACTGCCTTCCGCTGGCTTGAGAATCAGCTGTACACTCATTTTGTAATTCGAACTGACTCACGGAGTATGTTGAAAATGGTGGAGACAGGCATGCTCCGTGCTGAGTGGCAACATGGCTTTAGAAGTCCTGGTTAGCTAGCGTCCTTTGGATTTTTTCTCCAGGCTATGATGGTGTGTTGGAAAACAGGCAGGCAGATAGAGTGGCAGGTTCTGCACCACATGGTGGTAAATTGATGTATGACAAGCTAGATGTTGTGAGGGGCCCTTTGGGAGCAAGTGAATAGTGCAGAGGCACAAATAGATCGTTACGGTCTGAGGAGAATGACACTGCAGGGAGTTACCAGGGGATCTGGTTGATGCTGAACACACAAGGGAATGGGGAGACGGATGTACAGTCAGACAGTTACTGGTACCATCAGAATTTGAACTCTTCATTGCTGAAGATAAGGATGGAGTGCTTGTGGTAATGTCCTGGGTACTGTGATGTTGATTCCTAATTCAGTGTTCAGCATTCATGATATGGAAGGGATTGAATAGAATGGAGTGGAGGAATAGACCGAAAACCTCTTGTGACATGTAATTATAATGGCATAACAGGACAGTGATGATGATGATGATGATGATGATGATGAATATAGAAATAGTCTTTTTCCATGTCACTGGCACTTCAGATATATGGTGCTAGATCCACACTTTTAATTGATCATTAGACACTTGATGGGAGATGGGATGAACATCATGGCAGCTGAATTGAATTGCTGTATATCCTGGCACCCATTCTAGACTGGGAGACTTGTTCGTTATAAATATCTGCTAGGGGGAGCTGTCTGGTGTCGAAGCATGGTGTCCACCTCGAGTGCTAGAGGTTCCCTGTTCAATCCCTGTTAAGGGCTGGGATTTTTTCACGAGGACTTGGACTTCTGGTAAATCCTCCTAGTCTCTGGCTAGTGAGATCGGACGCCCATGTGCTTTGTTGCGCACGAAAATATCCCTTGGCAGCTGGAAATTGAAAAGAGCAGCCAAACAGTGCTGACCAGGCAAAATTTGGAGTTAAAAATCTACCCATAGTATTTTAGGATCCTTGCCAGTGCTACAGAGCCTGTGCACTGTGCTGAGCTTCTTCGGACTCAGTCTTGAGCACATATAGGTTACTTCCCATGTGCCATGACGTTAATCTGTTGTTCAAAACCTCAGACCTCAAAAATCTCCTGTAACAGGGATTTGAAACTAAGACCTTTGGATGAACACACACCTGGTCAGTGTTATGCTGCAGCTACCTCTTCACTTTCTTTGTTCACTGATCACTTCAGTCTCTTACGATAGCTCTCTCTCTCTCTCTCTGTCTCTCTGTCTCTCTCTCTGTCTCTCTCTCTCTCTCTGTCTCTCTCTATCTGTCTCTATCTCTCTGTCTCTCTTACTCTCTCTCTCTCTCTCTGTCTGTCTCTCTCTCTCTGTCTGTCTCTCTCTCTGTCTCTCTCTCTGTCTCTCTCTCTATGTCTGTCTCTCTCTCTCTCTCTCTCTGTCTGTCTCTCTCTCTCTCTCTCTCTCTCTCTCTCTCTCTCTCTCTCTGTTGTCTGTCTGTCTGTCTGTCTGTCTGTCTGTCTGTCTGTCTGTCTGTCTGTCTGTCTGTCTGTCTGTCTGTCTCTCTCTCTCTCTCTCTCTCTCTCTCTCTCTCTCTCTCTCTCTCTCTCTCTCTCTCTCTCTCTCTCTCTCTCTCTCTTTCCATCTCTAAGACACATGCTCAGTCACATGTCATTTTAAATTTGATGATTAAACACTCTTTATATGAAATGTTCAAACCCTAGACATCACATTAAATCTGTGCATAAACACACTACGATCACATGAAATCACATATCCTATATCAAAGTTTCTTTTTCAGTTAAAAAATAAAGCATATTATGTGTATGTATACCCGGCTCTCTAGCGTAGTTGGCTAAACCGGATTACGCGGTGACTGGGTGATGAACGCCTTGTCGTCCGGGTTCACTCCCGGGGGTAGGCAGAAAAGCCACATTTCTCCCAGATTTACGGTATTTACAATGGAATCAAGGCCAAAAGGTTGCGATATCCATAATACCGAGCCTAAGGGTTAACAACTCATGGCTTCTGGATACTAAAACAAACAAAAACAATGTGTATGTACATTAAGACTCTGTATGGCAGTGTAATCAAACCATTTGCCTCGCTCAGTGAAGGTTGTGGGCTCATTTCACAAACATAGTTCATTTCACAGACATATTGTTGACTTCATGTGAGAAGTTTTCATGAAGATTGCTGTGGGTTATCACTAGAGCTGCAGAGTCTATGCTTTGTGTGTGGCACTTAATCAGAGATTAAAAACCATTGAGCCAATCCTCTCTCTTAGCTTTTATTTTAACCCTTAAACTTTTATCATATTAAATTCACAGCCACATACTAAGCTGTGTTCTTTGTTTGCAGTCACCACACAGTTATGTCCCTGTGATCATCATATTTACTGCCCTTTTCAGTATTCCTTTTTATTTCTATTTTTGATGATAGTAAAACTTGATATTGATTATATTTAATTGTTTCTTTACCAGGATGGCTTGATGATATTGGGCTGCCGCAGTACAAAGACTCATTTTATGACGCAAGAGTTGATGGCAGGATGTTGAATTATTTGACTGTGGTTAGTCGTGTTTTATTGCAAGTTTATTGCGTACAGAAATTTATGATTATAGTATGCATTTAAGTTGAGTTGAGTTAAATCTTCTTCTCTTCGTAGTGTTTACCACCTGTAAACTCGGGCAGAAAGTTCTGGTTGTTTGTTCAGTTCAGGACTTTTGGTATTGTTCAAGAAATTAAGCTGTGTGTCCACATCTGTTTTGCAGACCTAGTTTACTTGTTATGCAGACTGTTGATTCCTCACCTCTCAATAGAGATTCAGTCCAGCATCAAAGGAAAACCCCCAGTTACTTACCCTATATGTCATGGTTGTTGGGTGGGGTGGAAGTGTCCCACCTGCCCTACAATATTTTTTGCCCCAGACCATTTTATTCCCTCTGAGCAGAACAACACTTCATGAATATTTGTAGTTTATTAGTTTTGAGATTTGTTATTTTCCGTTTTTTACTCCTGAATAAATGAATGAATTTCGACCCCACCAGGACATCACACAAGCGATAAACACCCGATGACACAAAGTGCCAGTATGTGGGTGAGGATCAATGTGGGAGAGGTCCCAGAAACCGCGTTCAGGCAATTGGCCATATTTATGACCTGCCTATATTGCGGTCCCTGGCAAAAGCCAGAGTGGGGCTTCAAATAACAGAAAAATTACGTCCTAAAAAGTATTTTTTCATTGGAAGACATGCTTAATTTTAACTCCTGCCCAGTACGCTAAAGGTGTGGACAAGGGTCCTTTATCATTGTTACTTTTTATATTTAACCCATACAACATTACTTTGATTTGGCATTGGGGCTGAATATGATATGTTTGGTACTATTTTTGTTATGGTTAGAAATGTCAAGGCTGGCCTCTGCTGTGGTATAAAGATATGTGCAGGTGGGACATGAATGATACAGGTATTCGGGTCGATTTATGTAAACAGAATGTCATGGACCATGTTGAGTGGAGGGGGAAATCAGGAAGGGAATGAGAATAAGAAACAAGATTATTGCAGATTGGTTGAGAGCTGAACTTCTGTCGAGAAGTTCAGTAAATCCATGTGATAACAAAAGCAGTCCTAGAATTCCATGTTTTAATTAACGCTGGTGGGTCTTGCTAGTCACACTCGCCATCGCCTGCGGCTCTTAGTCCCATGCCTCCCTATTGCACTGTATAAAACTATCATCTGAAAAGACGGAGGGTGCCGACAGTAGGTGTTAATCCAAGGTGGCCTGATGGTGTAGGGTTTAAAAGCTGCATTGGTACTGCCCCCCCCCCCCCCCCCCCCCCCCCCCCCCCCCCCCCCCCCCCCCCCCCCCCCCCACCCCCCCCCCCCCCTCCCCCCAACCCCCCCCCCCCCCCCCCCCCCCCCCCCAACCCCTCGTCAAATTTGACCTTGGTTTTCAGGTCGACCCAGTCTAAGATGGGTACCTATAAAGTCCTGAGAAATAATATTGTCTGACAGACCGATTGATCTGTCAAAATAAAGGCCTGACAGTGTATGTCCAGTCTGCTGAGGTCATGAAAGTTGTGGTTTTCCTACTTACCTAATAGTTTCAATTTCCTTTTGCATCAAAAAATGTTCTAATGCTATGAAAAAGGTCATTTGGCATTAATAGGCATTTTAGTATTTTTCAACAGGGATGAAGAAATAAAAGAAATATCTGGGAAGCACTGGTAACAGCAGTAATAAGACAAAGAAGATGATGGTATATTGGGCACATCCTAAGAAGAAATGAACAGAGAATCACCAGACAGGCACTCAGAAATACAAGGAAATACAAGGATTGAAATAAGGTCACCCTAAAGAAACCCTTAAGTAAACGTTGGTGAGAAATATAATATGATGATAAGCATTGATAAGACAGATCTAATGGTAATAGGTAGACGAGATGAAACCATATCAATTAAAGTAAAACAACACAGAAATAGAACAAACAAGCAGATTCAAATATATACGGTCGTTTTTCACCTCAGATGGAAGAATGGACAGAGAAATCAAAATACAATGTTGTAAAGCAAATCAGGTTATAGGACAATTAACACCACTTCTGAAGCATAGAAAGATACCTCTGTCAACCAGATCAAATCTCATAAGAATGGTTTTTTAACCGACATGTTGCTGCCTGTGCCAAACACGGACCCTTACTAAAACCAATGAGCAGAAGATTGTAACAACAGAGATGGGATGTCTTAGGAGAGCTGCCCGTGTGATAAGAAAATATAAAATCAGGAATGAAAAAAAATTAGAGGAAGACTAGGACTGAAACCAGTCATACAACTCCTTAAAGAACAACAAATGAGATGGTTGGCCACCTGACTAGAATGCCCTGGTACCAACTGCCACAGAGAGCCATGCTGAAGAAATTTAATGAACACAGAGCAATTGGAAGACCACGCAAGAGATGAAGCAACATCATCAGGAGCAACCTAACAGAAATTAACTTGCACAGTGCATTGGAAAAAGTGCCAGAAAGGATCCTCACCTCGCTGATGTAAATGGTGGAAGAGAAGAAGAAGATGAGAGAGACTAAAGGTGCTGGACTAGATGTCATCTTTGATGTGAATTCATGAAGGTGATTTTTTTTTTTTTAAAATCTTTTAAGTTTTACATTCAAAACCTCAAACCTCCATTCTATTCTGTCTTGTATATCCACTTCAGTATTAAAGATGGAATCCAGTACAGCATTTCTGGCTCCTCTCAGCAATGTTCGCTTGAGGGTTACTTTTTGACATCCTCATTTCCTCAGCCCCTTTATTTCCCATTTCAGAGCCTGTGCCGATTCTCTGCCTGTTTCTTTTCAGAATACAACTGTGTCCAATATAGTGCCCTCTTCTCTATCTTATAACTGTTGTTACTAGTGTTACCCAGACATTTCTCTTATTTCTTCACCGCCCTTGAATCTATCCCATTTTAATTTCTGCATTTCCCCTTGTATCTTCCGAGCCCCATTGTGTTGGTTCCTTGTCTCTCAGACAGATGCAGCAACCCCTATTTAGTCGCCTGTTACAACAAGCTATTACAACTCCAGGTTGTGCCAGTGTTTTGGGAAATGAGCAGGCTGATAGACTGGCCGGCTATGCACCATTTGGTTATGTATTGATCTGTGACAAGCTATATATTGTGAGGACCCTTAGGGAGTGAGTGAACAGTACGAAAATAGATCATTGTAGTCTGAGGAGAATGGCGCTACGAGGAGTTACCAGGGGATCTGGTAGACACTCAAAACTCAGGGTAGGGGCGAGACACATATACAATCAGACTGGTGCCATCAGAATTGTAACTCTTTGTTTGATGCTGAAGACGGGGATGAAGCACTTATGGGGGTGTCCCGAGTGCTGTGGTGTTGATTCCTAATTGAACAATCAACAAGCTTGTCAGGGAAGCAGTGGAACCCTTTCCGAAGCAACATAATTATGAATAAAAGAAATTGAAGAAAAAAGATGTTGATCTTCAACATCATTTGATTCATGTTAAATATTTGTTTTCATTGATCCCAAACAGCAGCGCCATATCAAGGGAATGCCAGAAGAAATTGTATTATGGACTAATCACAGAGTGATGGAGTGGCTAAGAACTATCGACCTCTCCGAATATGCTCCAAACCTCAGGGGTAGTGGGGTCCATGGTGCTCTCATGGTAACTACTTCCTTGTGTTTTTTGTTTTGCCTTCTTCTTCTTCTTCACGTTCACCAGCTGTAAACTTTCGTCGGAAAGTTCTGGTTGTTCATCCACTTCTGGACTGCAGTCCTGTTCCAGAACCTGAGTGTTGCATGTGCATCCGTTTTACAGATCTGACTCATTTGTATGCAGATTGCTGGTTCCTTGCCTCTCAGACAGATGCACTCCGACTTTAAAAATAGCTCCAAGTTAGTTGACTCTTACAACATGCTTTTGGCTAGGCAGTGGGTCTATTCTTGTTTTCCCTATAACTGCCCCGGAACCCAATATGGGGAGTGTTATACCTACCATATAGTATCACAACTTACAATTAGAGAATGGAGGTGGAGATAGTCGCTGCAGCTTTCTGATGGCTTGAGGACCAGCTGCCCACACCTATGCCATGATCATAGCAGACTCCTCAAAAGCATGCTGGGAAATATGTTCTACAGTGAGTTTCCTATTTAGCTTCAGAGGTCACAGATAGTATTGTAAAAGTTATCCAGTTTCAACAATGTAGCATATTTCTATGTCCTCAGGTTTTGGAGCCTCGTTTTAATTCAGAGCTGTTTGCTGTTTTGCTGTCCATACCCCCGAGTAAAACCTTGCTGCGGCGCCATCTCAACACCCACTTTATCAGTTTGATTGGCCCAGAGACACAAACCAAGAAAAGGGAACACGAGTCTGAGCCAACCTATGTTCCACTTCTTCCTGGCAGTAAAGTTAAGGTTAGTCATCATCATCATCTTTGTCTTCAACTTTAGCCATAAATCATCATGGTAGGAGTAGTTAATTTTATAAGAAAGCACTGCTGGAACTACATCGGCCATGCACTCAGAATGGATAAGGCCAGACTCTACCATCAAACACTCATGTGGACGTCAGAAGAGAAAAAAAAAAAAAACTGGAGAAGACCAAGAGAGACCCTGCTTAGAACCATCATCAGGAAAGACTCAACCATAGGCTTAATAAACATCCAAGACCAAAAACAGACGGCAACAAACCGCCTGACATGGATTAATCAAGTAACAGAAAGTGTATTGATCGGCATTCATAGAAAGAAGTAGAAAGATAGAAGAACACACTAGACAACATAAAAATTGAAAGCTATAGTTACCATGCCAGGAATTAAACCTGTCACCTCAGACGGGGCTAGTCCAGCTAACCTATCCACCTGCTCATTCCCTAACATGCCTACATTGCCGGGGCAAAATATTTGTGCGCATGCCACTACCTGCAGCCTCTAGATTGATGAGACCCTTTTAAATTTATCATTTCATATTCTTATTTCAGAAAGGCAAGTTTGGACTCTTCAACCACAAGAAGATCAGATCTGACACGGAGCCAGAAGGATTCATTTGCCCCCCGGAGCCTAATGGGAAGCATTCTAATGGAAAGGTGAATATGAAGCTAAATTTATTATAGTATATGTGTATGTGTGTGTTATCACCACTTAATGCCTTGCAGACTGCCATAGATAATTGTACTTCTTCTTTTCTTGTGATCAGTGTGTATCCGTTTGTGTGGTGACACATTTCCATGCTGTGACAACAGGCTGTCAAGAATCTTCACTCGCTGTCATCCAGCCTCGCTCTTTCTAGAAATATATGTGTGTTTTGTATGAACCACACCATGCAGCAGACTCATTGAGAAACAGAAGTTTGAATGGTTTGGTCATTTAGTAAGAATGTAGCCAGAACAACAACCAATGCAGGTGCTACACATGACAAGATCTGAAGTGAAAGCAGGAGGCTGTCCTAGGAGAAGATGGATTGATGACATTAAAAGCTTCTACATCAACACAGAATGACAGTAGCCATTGCTGCCCATCAAGCTATGGATCGTAAAAAGTTCCTCCCCACAACGCTTAATGGCAGAAGTAGAAATTAATAATGATGATCGTGTGCATACTGCATTTTCCCCAGTCTTAAGACCTAATCTGAAAATAAGCCCTACCAGGATTTTTCAGTAATATAAGCCAGACCTCAAATAGTGGCCAGAGTTAAGATCATCATCCTGGCAGATGGGTTTTGTTTGTTCATTGAAACATCTAGTGATTTTGATGTAAGGATTTGAACTGGCATGTGTACAAGATTATCCTCTATTTACCATCATCAGAAGTCTAAATTTGTGTATGTGCATAATTCATTTGTTTATATCTCAATAACTTTTAGAGAGGGCAGAGAGAACTTACCCCTCATTTCTTTTATAAATAGTTAATTTATACCTGATTGCAGGAGATTTGGAATGGCAGTGGCTTATCCCACATTAAGGATGGGTGCTGTTGTAGTGTAGTGGCAAGCCACTTGCCGAGCAGTTTACAGCTCAGGTTTACATCCATACTGAGAATGGGGTTTTGTTTCATATTAATCATCAAGAATCCTAGGTTTCAGAAACTGACGTATTGTTGCCATATCAAGCGAAAGTAAGAGAGGGCATGGTACCAGGAAAGAGGGGCAGGGGCTGACCAGCATGAAGATACACACAGGGTATAAGACATGTATTGGGTAGGAAGGTGCATGAGACTTTAGAGATGGTCTCAGACAGTTGTTTTTTTCAGTTGGGCTATGACGAGAGCCAAGTTCTTTAAGGAACCTGCTACGTGATGATTGTGTATGTGAAATTTATTTTCTGTATGCTAGTATGTTGATTATTCACCTCTCTCTCTCTCTCTCTCTCTCTCTCTCTCTCTCTCTCTCTCTCTCTCTCTCTCTCTCTCTCTCTCTCTCTCTCTCTCTCTCTCTCTCTCTCTCTCTCTCTCTCTCTCTCCCTCTCTCTCTCTCTCTTCTCTTGGGAGTCGCCATATGGTGTAGTGGCTAAATGCCCACCTGCGGATTGGAAGGTTGTGGGTTCGCTCCCTAGCTCCCCAGACTTTTTTCAAAAATGACCTTGTCTCCCAGGTCGACCCAGCCTTGAGTGGGTACCATATGCAGTCCTGGGAAATGAAGGAGGCCAGCCTGATGCTGACCACATCTTGTTCTGTTGGTCTATAAAATATAGGTCTAGCCATATATACTCAATACATCTGAAAGTCATGGAAAAGGGTCCTTTACTTTACTCTCTCTCTCTCTCTCTCTCTCTCTCTCTCTCTCTCTCTCTCTCTCTCTCTCTCTCTCTCTCTCTCTCTCTCTCTCTCTCTCTCTCACTCTCATCTCTCACCTCCCTGTCATTTCTCATCCCACCTGATAGGACTGTATATGCGTGTGTGGTGTGTTACCTGAACATGTGTGTGTGTGTATATAAATGAGAGAGACGGAGGGAGAGACTTATTCAATACTATAGATTCCTATGTCACATGATGTACACAAATTACTGTATTACATCATTACATTATTTCTTGCACACTGTAGGAAATCACACAGACGGTCAAAACCAGCCCTTGTAAGTTGCCTACTGTTCACTAGCCTCCTGTATACAGCTTCAGCTTGTGGGCTTTGGGTTAATGTAGTGCTTATAGTTCTAACATTTCATGCTTGGAGACAAATGCAGTATCTATGTATTTTTAGTTGTGTAAATAAGAACAGACAGCCAATGCTGGTGTTGGTTCTGCAAGGTCCTGTAAAAGGATATGCAACTAACATAACAAATAAGAATAGACTTTCTCCATAGGGGGTGCTAGGACCCAGTTTTGGAGGAAAAAAAGAGCAGAGTGAGTGAGTGATGTTTAGCCCCACTAGGACCGTACAATGAGTGATTAACACCTGGTGACACAAAGTACCAATATTCGGATGAGAATTTTCCAGGTGTAATTCCCAGAAACCCATGTCAGCCATAAGGTTATATTACGGCCCCCGACGGAAATTATAAAGTAACCTAAAGTCTAGGCGGGGTTGGGCTTTAATGTGCAAACAACAACAACAATAAAGTAATGTCCCATGTTTCCCCTTGTGGGTTCTGGGGCCTCATTATGGGGAAAACAAGAATAGACCCACTGCCTACCTAAAAGCGGGTCTTTAGTTTGACTAATTGGGAGCTTCCTTTAAAATCAGAGTACATGTGCCTGAGGGGCAAGGAACCAACAGTCTGCATGCACATGAGTCAGACCTGTGAAACACAAACTCAAGTTCGGGAACAGGATTAGAGTCCAGAAGTGGACAAACAACCAGAACTTTGCGCTGGAATTAGCAGCCGGTGAACACGAAGAAGGAGAAGAGCATGTTAAAAAAAAAGTGACAGATTAAGAATTTGCTAACTTGTGTTTGGCTTGAAGATGCAAATAACTCAGCCTAGCTGTAAACGAAAACACAGCGTGCCAGCCACTTCTGTAACGGGTGAAGCAGAAAACAAAAAGTAGGAGAAGAACAGACATCACCTCAGTCTTGAATTTCCTGTGGGTGATAAATCATGCAAAGTTGGTGAAAAGCATGTATGGTGATTATCCCCACTGAGTTCACAGATTAGCTTACCCTGCTGCTGACAGGGACCTCAGTGTTGCATCTATCTGCCATTTCTGCATTTTAATTTAAGCCCATAAGTTTATTTCTTTGTTTCTTAAGAAGTCGCAATATTTTCTCTATACCCAGCATATATGCATTATCAGTGTGTAGCACACTCACACTCATCACCGTATCTAGTGCCCTTACATCCATTAGATCTGCCCATTTTTTACTTAGCACCTTCACATCCAGTGGATCTGCCCTATCATTACCTAGTACCCTCACATCCATTAGATCTGCCCATTTATTACTTAGCACCTTCACATCAAGTGGATCTGCCCTATCATTACCTAGTACCCTCACATCCATTAGATCTACCCAATTATTACTTAGCACCTACACAGCCAGTGGATCTGCCCTATCATTACCTAGTACCCTCACATCCATTAGATCTGCCCATTTATAACTTAGCACCTTCACATCAAGTGGATCTGCCCTATCATTACCTAGTACCCTCACATCCATTAGATCTGCCCCCAGTTATTACTTAGAAACCTTCACAGCCAGTGTGGATCTGCCTTATCATTACCTAGTACCCTCACATCCATTAGATCTGCCCATTTATTACTTAGCACCTTCACATCAAGTGGATCTGCCCTATCATTACCTAGTACCCTCACATCCATTAGATCTGCCCAGTTATTACTTAGCACCTTCACAGCCAGTGGATCTGCCCTATCATTACCTAGTACCCTCACATCCATTAGATCTGCCCATTTATTACTTAGCACCTTCACATCAAGTGGATCTGCCCTATCATTACCTAGTACCCTCACATCCATTAGATCTGCCCAGTTATTAATTAGCACCTTCACAGCCAGTGGATCTGCCCTATCATTACCTAGTACCCTCACATCCATTAGATCTGCCTATTTATTACTTAGCACCTTCACATCAAGTGGATCTGCCCTATCATTACCTAGTACCCTCACATCCATTAGATCTGCCCAGTTATTACTTAGCACCTTCACATCCAGTGGATCTGCCCTATCATTATTACCTAGTACCCTCACATCCAGTAGATCTGCCCAGTTATTACTTAGCACCTTCACATCTAGTGGATCTGCCCTATCATTACCTAGTACCCTCACATCCATTAGATCTGCCCAGTTATCACTTAGCACCTTCACATCTAGTGGATCTGCCCTATCATTACCTATTAACCTCACTGCCCAGCGTGCTAGCTCAGTTGGTTAAACCATTCATGTGGCAACCGGTTGATGAACCCCTTGTGATCTGAGTTCACGCTCGGGGGTAAGCAGAAACTCATGTTTTCTGGATATTTAAAAAAAAAAAAAAAAACTTCCCTTACATCCAGGAGATCTGCCCTATCGTTACCTAGTACCCTCACACCCAGTGCATATGCCCTATTATTACACAGTGCCCCCACACCCAGTAGATTTCCTATCATTGCCTAATACCCTCATATCCATGACCTCTGCACCCTGAGTCGCAATCCCCAAAATGTTTATGAGAAGCTGAGCCATCCTCTCACCCTTGCCTTTTCCCATCCTCTACCGACAGTTTGCAGGGAGCTACCTACCCCCCCCTCTCCCCTCCCATGTTGCTAATGTGCATGCAACACCTGAGAAATAGAAACATAAATTACGATGTTGCTCTCGCGTAACGAGACCGTTAGAAACCACCAGTTACATTTTCCTGCCATCCTATAACCATTTGTGACTTACACATATAAATATATAAATATACATTCCATATCATTTTCAATGAAGTTTCAGATTTAACTGTCATTCCGTACATAAAAAATAAGTATCATTACTATTATTTTGTAGAATTATTGCACACTTAAAAAGACTTCCCTCCCCTCCCCCACCGCTATTCCATAACAAATTTATATTGGGGCTGAGGGCTTTTGGGCCCCTCCGCAGTGTTATATTTTATTATTATTGCATCCTGACGGGCCAGTTGAACTACTGGCTGCCCCCTAGAAAATGTATAAAAGGTTCTGAGGGCTGTTGAGCTTCTTAGCCTGTTTCTTTGCATTGCATTTCTATGACCCCCTTTACATCCCAGGCCCCCCCCTCTCCTCCCCCCCCCCCCACCTCCCTTCTTTTTTTTGCCCTTTTTTTTTTTTTTCAATATTTCTTGTAGACAGCGGTCAGATCAATGATAATCTCCCCAAACTAGGTAAAGTTCCATTCATACATTTTTCAGACTGGCCTGCTGTCAAGGGGGTTAAGGGTTGTCGCTGTGTTGTTTCCTTTCTGGCTTGTCTTGCATTTACGTTTTTCTTCCGAGAAAGAGAATGCCTCTGACATAGGTTGCAGCACTCTCTAGGCGGGTTGTGTGTTAGACCCAGTTTCTAAATTTTTTTTTGTAGTGTTGAAAGCACTGGCATGCTTAAATATACAACACGCGATATTGACGGCATTGCCGAACACCCCCTTAGTAATGTGCAAAGGTCGGGTGACTGAAGGTCGACCAGTCAGAAGTGAATTAGTGTGTATATGGATGGTCCATGGGGAGATTATCGTGAAACTGACCGTAGACAGCTTATTGATGCTTCTAATTATTGCTTCGGATAATAATCACCCTCTTCTATTCTCAGCATTATGACACAACTGCCAGAGACTTTGGAGCATATTCCCACGAGATAAATACTTTAACAGTAAGTTTAAGGGTTGCATATATTACATATCATATAGCAGCTTGGTGTCTTGGATCTTGCCTCATTTCATATAACATGTTAACATACATAGCATGATCCATAATTTTCTTTGTATGTAAGACGATATGTTTTCCCAATTTATTTATTTTTTTTAAGTTTTAAACTTTGGGTCATCTTGTATACAGAATATGTTTAAAATATTATTTTTGTTTTGTTTTGGGATTTAAAAAATAAGGGTTGTCTTTTACCTGGGGTTGTCTTATACCTGGGTTTGTCTTTACATGGGAATGCCAAAGATATGTAGATTGCTTGTTCAGTCCCCCTGTTTCATTACTGTGTAATAATGTTCACAGTACACAGCATCATAACCTTAGGTTGTTTTTACATTTTAATGTATCTTGATCTAATGTTTACCTACATTGCAACATATCCTGACCCATTGTTTACATACATTTGACATAATGTTTACTTATATTCCAACATGACCTGACCCAGTGTTTACACACAATTGATCTCATGTTTGTTTATATTCCAGTATGTCCTGACATATTGTTTACATACAATAGACCTAATGCGTACTTATGTTCCTGAATATCCTGACCTTTGTAACTTACTTATATTAAATATATCTTGACCTAATGTTTACTTCTACTTACATGTCCACACATTATGATAATCTTATGTTTACTTTTACTTACCTGCCCACATATCATGATGACCTAATGTTTACTTTTATTTACCTGCCCACATATCATGATGACCTAATGTTTATTTTTACTTACCTGCCCACACATTGGGATGATCTAATGTTGACCTTTACTTCACTGCCCACAGATTGTGATGACCTAATGTTTACTTTTATTTACCTGCCCACACATCATGATGACCTCATTTTTACTTTTACTTACCTGCCCACACATTATGATGATCTCATGTTTACTTTTACTTACCTGCCCACATATCATGATGACCTAATGTTTATTTTTACTTACCTGCCCACACATTGGGATGATCTAATGTTGACCTTTACTTCACTGCCCACAGATTGTGATGACCTAATGTTTACTTTCACTTACATGCCCTAATATAATCTTGACCTTTTGTTTCCATTCCAGTGTATTATCTCTTTACCTGACTAATGATTTAAACATTCCAACACATAATTTTTATCTGATGTTTAGTTTTATTCCATTATATCTTGACCAAACGTTGACATTCTTTTACTTAAATTCCTGCATATCATCTGACTATAATGTTTCCTAATCCTTTTGTTGTTTTGTCTCCTAGAACATGCTGTCACATGAGAAGTTCTTGGAGTCTGCCAAAACATCAAATGTCTGACACGAACTAGACTGTCACCCAATGCTCACAACATTTCACAGAAACACATCTTCTCTTGCTGCAGGCACCTGCCCCAGAAGGAGCTCAATGTCTAGGACAAAAGTATATGCTCACCAAGGATAGAGAATGGTGAAGGCTGATTTGTGTTTCTCTACAGCCTTCTGTCAACTTCCAAGGCCAGGAAAAACAATGAATTCTCTTTTATATGAAAACAAAATATTCACATATTGTTTTAAAAGAAAAATTATTCACAAATTATGTTGATATTTAATTAAATGCAATGGGAGTGATAAAATTATGTCAGTGGTTGTATTTATGGAATTATGTTACTTGTAAAATTGCTTTTTTTTTTCCCCTCTTGTTTGTTGGTTGACTTTTTATATTTCATCCCAGAAGAGATTGTCTTATTGATTGATTTTAAAATCTACATTCATGGCACTCCTAGTTCATCCATAGATGCTTCATCTTTTGCAGAAAATGTTTTAAAATATCAATGCTGCTTTATCTGTCTAAGAAAAGATTGAAAGATTGATTTAGTGATATATCGATTGATTTTAGAAATAAAGTTATAGCACTGCATGCTTATTCATAGATGCTCCGTCTCCCACAGTAAGCGTTCTAAAATAGTGGTGCTGATCCTTCATCCTAGAAAAAAAATTGAAAAATTATTGATTGATTTTGGAATGGACATTATAGCACACATGTTGATGTTCTGTCGCAGCATAAATTGTAAGGTACAGATGCCTATAGTTCCACCCTTAAAAAAAAATTATTTTAGTGATTTATTGACTGATTTTAGAATCAACATTATAGCTCACTATAGATGCCATGCCTCATGAATTGCTATAAGGCAGGGCTATTTAACTGGTGGTTCGCAGGCTATATTTGGCCCGCAAAGGCCTAGCAAGTGGCCCGCTGATAATTCCAACTTGTATTGAAATAATTATCTTTCTGTGCTTGGACTCTGGCACCTGGCCAGTGATGATCTCCCTTTTCTGAATTGTGGCCTTTGAGTAAACTTCATTGAAAAGCCCATCTATAATGTTTAGATGACGATTTTTCCATCCAAGAAAAATATTTATTATTATTTTAGAATCAACATTATGACACTTCAGGTCTATACATAGGTGCTCCATCTCTACCAGTAAATGTCATAAGCTGTAAATGCTGATCATTCCATACAAAAAAATAAAGACATTTTAACTGTTTGCATAACTCCGCTCTTATCATTGAATGCCAGAAAGTTACTTGGTAATTCTACCCAGTGGTTTCCTTGTAACTGTGGGGGATGTTATATTTTAATTGTGGATTATTTTTTCGCTTTTATTATTAGTAATTTTTTTAAAATCTAACATGGTTGTCTGATTTTTCTGACAAAGAAGCTACTGAATGTTGATCTCTGTATACAACCAAAAAGAGACAGACACTGTTCTTTGGCCACATAATGAGAAGAGAGACATAGGAGAACATCGTGACAACTGGAAGGATCAGTGGAAAAAAGGGGTAGAGACAGACAAAGAGAGATGTTGCTGGATGGGCTGAAACAATGGCATGGAGGAATATCATCAAGAGAGCTGTTCTAGGCAACCAGGGATCATGGTCTGTGGAGAAGCATGAGTGCCTATGCCTGTTGGCAGGGCACATGATGATGATGATAGGCTGACTGATAATATATAAACACAAGAGATAGTTTGAAAAAATATACATGAAATCACATGAAAATATATGCAGATGCAAGGAATTATATTAGTATGGATAAAGAACAAAAACTATATATGCCAGTAATTCCCAAACTGTGTGCTGCTGCCCCCGGGAAGCTGCGACCTCTTCACAGGGGCCCTGCGAAATATTCAAAGATACATGAGTTTTATTCATTTTGATCTCTCACATACGAATAATCATACTTTTACTTAGGTTAGGGTGCTGTGGAAAAACTGCAATTGAAAAAAGGTGCCGCCACTAAGAGAAGTTTGGAAAACACTGGTAAATGCATTATCTCATTGAGCTAAGTTTGAATGTGCAGTTTAAAAAATATTCTGCATCAGTGTTATCATTACAATTGTAAGTTTTTTTTTTCTCTATGAATTCAGTTCCATATTTACATCTAATTTCAGATTATTTCCTATTTTTGCATTCATTATTTCTTGCTTTGTAATTGCATGTTTTATAAAGAACAGTATTTTGTTTGAAACAAAGAAATATGATCATTTGAAGGTGCATATAAGTGTTGCTTAACAAGACAGTAGTTTTTGTTGTTGTTGTGAATATTCAACATATTCTAGTTATTTGTGATTCTTGCTTAATCTCGAACATATTACACTTTATTTTCTGTTTTTATTTGTTGCCTGTGCTTGCAGTTTAAATATAATTGTGTGTCTGCCTATTAGTCTATCTAACTGCCCACCAACCTGTCTGCCTACCTGATTGTCTGTCTATATGTCTGTCTTTATATCTATCTGTCCATCTATTTATCTGTTCACTTACCTTTTTCTTCTTCTTTGTTCACCATCTGTAAGCGGCGGCGGAAAGTCCTGGTTGTTGATTTATTTGGACTTAGGATTTGTGCCAGGGGCTGAGTTTTGCATCTGAGTGATCAGAGTTTTGCGTCTACATCTGATTGTAATGGCACCAGTAATATTCTAAATTGTCTCGTCTTTTTCTTGAGTGTTGAGCATTGATCCCTGGTCACTCCTTGCTACCACCATTTTCCTCACAGGGTAATGATCTATTTGTGCTTCCACACTGTTGACTTGCTTTCACAGGACCCTTACTGCATCTAGCTTGCTCTGTTCACCACCAAGTAGAGTAGAACAAGCCAATCTGTCTGCCTGTTTGTTTTCTAATATACCGACATTAAACCTTATCATCATACTATGCCTTGCTAAATAGCTTGTGCAGTCATTGTTCACTATCTCATAGGATCACCAGAATCATAGATCAGGTCAGTGTTCTTGTCCCTTCCAAGATGTGTGTGTCTTGAATCAGGCTTTCTTTTGGCATACTTGAAAGTGGTAGTTTATCATTGCTTTTCTATCTTGACAGCTATCATACATAAGATTAATGGGATACATTTGACATATGTAAATAAATTTAAGGCATTTGTGGCTTAGGCGTTGCGAGCGAGCTTTGGAATGCCGAGGTGCCGGGTTCAATCCCAGCTGCAGGCCTTGCGCATTGCAATGGTTTCAGAAGTTTTAATGAGAAGCCGACTGTCCAGAAAGCAATGGCAAACTACTAGATGTAATTTAACTTGAAAAAAACAACAGCTAAAATATTATGGGGTTGGTTCTGCAATGTCCTGTAGAGGATACACAACTAACTAACTAAACAAATTTATGTTTAAATTTAGGTAAGATTTTATCTGTGTCATTCAGTCAGTCAGGTGCCCTTTTGTTGGGACACCGACATAAAGAAGTCATTCCAATATGAATAATCGTAATTAAAAAAACAGTAATTTTCCTGAGGGGCACATAAAAATAATATGTATGAAGTATATATGAAACAAATAAATTACAAAATTAAAAAGAACTAGTATATATGGCTGATGGGCGGGACTCAGCCTACACCTCCCCCTCCCCACTTCCTTTTTTTTTTTTCTTACTAATAAGAAGAAAAAGAATAATGATGTTCTGAATGCTGTATAAATATAACAATATGTTTGAAATAGTGTAAAATGTGTAAATGAATGCTTAAGAGAAAATGTATATGGAGGAAGGGTTGGATTCACCGACCTCCACCGCACCACCACCACCTTTTTTGTGTTAGTGGTACATCAAGCATATCCTGCTGGATGAATATTAATTCAGTCGAGTCAGCACAGTCACCTTTATTTCCCTGGACATTTTCTTGAAACTATTGTTGGTAAGCCATTGGTCACACATATATTTAAATTTAAAAATTATATTATATTAGATATAATTAAATTATATTAAAAACACTGTAAAAAAACCACTGAAAAATTTAGAAATTAAATTAATACGCTAAGAACAAAATCACACACTTTCGGTATCTGTTTTACTAATGAAAAGTAAACATTACATCAGACATTTGTTTTTACTGTTTATATCCAACAGTGCACCTGGATGATTGGCTGTTGTCCTTGGCTATCATCAACTTTATTCAAAACAAAAAATATCAATAAATCAGTATATATTGATCTGATAAAAAATAAATATTATGTCATACTTGTTTTTACGGGGGAAAGTGGGGGGGGGTGACTTGTTATGTGTAAGGAATGATGCCCCTGGATGATTTGGTTATTGCCCTTAGATGTTAATCAGGGCAGGTAAGGTTATAACATTCATACAAACTCAAATAGAGGAGAATAAACAGTAGAGATGTGTGTATATTGTTAGTTTGGTGGTAGAATGTATACACATTAGTTAGGTTGTCAACTGCATACACATTAGTTAGGTTGTAGAATGTTTACACATTAGTTAGGTTGTAGAATTTTTACACATTAGTGAGGTTGTTGACTGCATACACATTAGTTAGGTTGTAGAATGTATACACATTAGTTAGGTTGTAGAATGCATACACATTAGTTAGGTTGTAGAGTGCATACACATTAGTTAGGTTGTAGAATGTATACACATTAGTGAGGTTGTAGAGTGCATACACATTAGTTAGGTTGTAGAGTGCATACACATTAGTTAGGTTGCAGAGTGCATACACATTAGTTAGGTTGTAGAATGCATACACATTAGTTAGGTTGTAGAATGTATACACATTAGTTAGGTTGTTGACTGCATACACATTAGTTAGGTTGTAGAATGTATACACATTAGTTAGGTTGTAGAATGCATACACATTAGTTAGGTTGTAGAGTGCATACACATTAGTTAGGTTGTAGAGTGCATACACATAGGTTAGGTTGTAGAATGCATACACATTAGCTAGGTTGTAGAATGCATACACATTAGTTAGGTTGTAGAGTGCATACACATTAGTTAGGTTGTAGAGTGCATACACATAGGTTAGGTTGTAGAATGTATACACAT